CCCCACACACACACATTGATTCACTGTGGAAATCCCACTCAAGGGGAGCCGAGCCCTTATAATTCTTATCTCGTCAAGACAACAGAAATGTACACAGCATAAGCCGACAACAGGACGCGATACACCTTTGGACAATAGGATTAATATAATATATATATATATATATTAGACAATAGGACGCGATACACCTTTGGACAATAGGATTAATATAATATATATATATATATATTATAATAATATTATTAGAGAGAAAGAGAGAGGGAGAGATTTTATACATGTGTGTGCGTGTGTGTGTGTGTGTGTGTGTGTGTGTGTGTGTGTGTGTGTGTGTGTGTGTGTGTGTGTGTGTGTGCGTGCGTGCGTGTGTGGATGATATAATTATAAAACGTCGAGTGACATTAAACATGAACTGCACAAGCTTCGAGTAGGCCTATCTTTTTGTTTCTTTATAAATACTACAGGCGCAATACTCTTCTTTCACTTCATGCCTTCTGTACAACCCAGTGTAAGCCTTCCCAGCAGAACTACTGCTTTTAGTTTTAGTAAGTCAGTGCTTTACGGCACTTGCAACACAATAAGGTCAAATAAGGGCCAAAGGTTAGATGTGTTCACAGAATTCTACACTAAGTGAAGAATTCTGTGGAGGTGTTGCAAGAGAGTAACAAACACACAAACATGAGGAGGAGGAGAGATAAGGACGATAGATGTTTGATAGGAAAGGATGAGACGAGATAAGGACGATAGATGTTTGATAGGAAAGGAGGAGGAGGAGAGATAAGGACGATAGATGTTTGGTAGGAACGGATGAGGAGAGATAAGGAGGATAGATGTTTGATAAGAAAGGAGGAGGAGAGATAAGGACGATAGATGTTTGATAGGAAAGGAGGAGAAGAGATAAGGGCGATAGATGTTTGATAGGAAAGGAGGAGGAGAGATAAGGACGATAGATGTTTGATAGGAAAGGAGGAGGGGAGATAAGGACGACAGATGTTTGATAGGAAAGGAGGAGGAGAGATAAGGACGATAGATGTTTGATGGGAAAGGAGGAGGAGAGATAAGGACGATAGATGTTTGATAGGAAAGAAGAAGCAGACCTTAGGCGGTCATAAAACCGCCTTGAGCAGTCCACACCAAAGCACCCGCCAACCACCTCTAGGTGCTACTATTAATGCTATAGCTGTAAATGTTTCACGCTTCCCTAAGCACGGAAAAGATAATGTACCCTCTCTGTATATTTAAACTGGGTTTTTTCGGCTTTGTTGGTCAGGGCCTATACCAGGTACATTGTAACATATTAATATAGTGTGTCACAACGCGGTGGAATCAGCCTCTCGTCATCTTTTTTTTTCTTCCTGACATGTAGCGTTAGAACTATTATTATTATATTAAAGCTTAGATTCTATTCGTTGATTGTCTACCCGATGAATAAAATACACATGTACATGTATATTGAATAGAAGCCGATTGCAATTAAAGGAGGTCGGGGTCGCCTGCCACCTGAGGGGATAAAATTACCGAGAAAATGGCTGCCAAAGTTTGGTGTCTTCTATCGCTTGAAAGTCTTTGAAAACTGAATTTTTTTAATTTGTGAGTGTGTGTGTAGTAGCAGTAGTAGTAGCAGTAGTAGTAGTAGTAGCAGTAGTAGCAGTAGTAGTAGTAGTAGTAGTAGTAGGAGTAGGAGTAGTAGGAGGAGTAGGAGTAGTAGTAGTAGTAGGAGTAGTAGGAGTAGGAGTAGGAGTAGTAGTAG